TCTTTTTCCCTTACTTTCACTTCTTTTGCTCTGAAATGTTTACCGTTTCTTGCTGGGAATGCAGTTTCCTTCACAATTTCGGGTTTCTTGGGATTACTGGATTCTAAACTTAATTTGTAGCTATTGTTTTGACTGAAACCCCCGTTTTCGGTGAACAGTAGGACAACATTCTGATTTGGAGCATCAAGCCAGTTCAATCGCATGGACTAGACTGATGGACCTTAAGGAGAAATATGATGAGAGTGGTTTAGTTTGGATCCATGTGTAAGTGTTTCCTTTTGGGGCCGATAACTGGTATCAGGAGAGTTGAGTTATGCATAGATAAGTATGTTTCTAGTTATCTAGTTAACTTCCACTTGGCAGTTAACCTACACTTAGCAAATAAATTGGGTAAATAGGAGTTTACGTGAGCCAGGGAATACTAATGGGAAGAATACTAGATAGTTAAGGCAGTTAGGACGAAGCTACCGTATGCCTTGTAAAATTCTCATCTGATATTCTCTGTCCAGGCCTGTTAAGCGATTCTGTGAACGAAGCCAATTAGCTTTTTTTCCTCATTCATTCTTGCCTGCTAAGCCTGCACCCTTATAGAGCCCCACTGCTTTGCAGTCATTCTGAGGAAAGATGGGACATCGGTATAAGGTGCGACTCCTAATCCTGAAGTGGAAGAAACATTCTTCAGAAGCACCTTCGAGATGCTTCCCAGTGGTCCACTTACTCGTCGTTTTGTGAGCCCAGTCCAAGCAGGCGTTCGCAATTTGGGATTATTCCCAAGACCAATCCTGCAGTCTATTTGCCATTGAAATATGATCTGGGAATGCATTTTTTTCGTTGACGGACCTGAAAGGCGTGAAAAAGCGAAGGAGGAATAACAAAAAGAAAGCTGCAACTTACTTGCTCGAATTTCATGGGATATTAATGTTGCTAAACAAGTAGTATAAAGGTTTTACAATTATCAACTTCCTCATCCAAATAGATGCGGGGCTGATGCCTGAGTTCAGCGATACATGTTACTCCTCGAAACTTTATTACTTCAAAAAACCATGGACTTTTTTTCATAGAGTACACCCTCGAATGAAACATCTTAGAACATTCAACGTTACTCTTATGAGCGGAGAAAAAAGAGAAAGAAAAGGGGAACAACTTTTTGACTAGTAACTTAGTAGTAACGATTGTTAGTAACAACCTGATATACCGACGATATTAAAGTAACTTTGTTCCTGGAAATTTTCGCTTCAGAGACAGTCAAACAATTACTTCGAAGTCCGCAAAGTAAGTATTCCATCAGCTCGAAGTCTTTGCGCAATTATTACGTCATATTCATACTTTTCTCATGTGAAGGATCGGGCTTTCGTGCATCGTTGCAACTCAGGATGGGCTTTGTTCAGTAGAAGTACCAGTTAATGACCCTCCATGATTTGTCAGTCACGCAAATTCTGTATTGAATTTCCATCAAATAAATTTCATGAAAACCAAGCGAAATTTCGTTATCCTTGACAACCGCTAGACATAAAGAGATTACCATCTTTCGGGGGTGTACATATTTCCGGTTTCAAGCTGTTAATCGAGTTGATGACATTGGAACGTTGAAGGGCTTATTGCTAAACAGATGTCACGGAGTGCAAATTCTGTGATGTAGCTTTGTTGCACTTTCTAACAGATGTTGATTGATTGTTGGAATATTGTTTTTGTTTATTTATTATGTTTATTTATTGGTCCGCTCACTTAGGTTCCTTACAATGCCGAAAAAGCAAATAAGAATTAAAATAGAGCAAAACAACAATAGTAATGGCTAGAAAACAAGGCAAGTTTTATGCGGTAAACAAATATCCGCAGGCTATTTCCTATCCGAAAAATGTAGGGAAATTGCAAATGAATAAACAGACGGATAAATAAATAGATAAATCTGCCAGGCGTGCTGCAAAGTTTCAGAATTGCAATGTTACTTTCACAGCAAAGTTAGTGAGCCCAGATTAGCGTAATAAGTGATACCCCGTAGTAAACTGTGTTAAAAGCCTGTTATTATTTGTGCAGCAGTTTATTACGAAATATTTGAGCACTAAAAGATACTAAGGGACCTCCAGAAAGAAGTTGTATGCATCTGGCACCGCAAAAGAACTTTTCATTGTAAACTTTGGTGTGACGGGTCCTACGAATTGTCTCATGATGAGTAAAAACCTGATCGGAAGTCCTGGACGTGGCCAAAAAACTCAATGTTTGCTGGATCTCAACTAAAATTCCCCTTCAGATATCTTACAACAAAAAACTAAATCACCGGAAATACTACGCCACAGTAAGCTCTCTACTTTAAAGATCTTGGAGATGTAAATGTTAAAAACCAATCCTTGAGTAACACTAGTAATTATAATATTAAAGATAATCATATGCCGGCATGGAACATATTCGCAAAAGAGATTTTCTTATCGTCTCATGAATTTACTGGATTGAAATTGGAATATTGGCAACATTTTTGAAATCCGTCTTCGCGTCGCTATATTACTGCTTTGTACCGGTTACTACTGGTTTCATAGCCTTTTTTAGTTACAGAAATGTCTCCTGGACCTCCGGATCTTCTGGATATTCCTGGTAAACGAGCAACATTCACTTCTGGTAGTGAAGAGGAAATTCGCCTGGGATCACGAGTAACCTTCAATGATCAATCTGTCAATATCGAAGGAGTCGATTTTCAAATGAATGAGGTGAAAACTGTAATATTCTTTTTCTTTTTTTTTTGAACTGTTTTTATTTATCCCGTGATTTCGTGACTTCCTGATGGATTTTCCGTTCATTGACGTGAAGATTTCTTGCCAGTTGGCGGCGCCGGGATACATCTTAAGCTCACTTTACTCTTTTGTTTACCTTTGAATGAGGGTCATGGGATTAAGAAAACACTTAATACTAAGACAGCATTACAATTTACATTCAGATAACAATTAAAGTAAAGAAATCAGGATCGTATCATTGGGAGGGAGATGCGTACCATTTGAGTTTTATTAGGTCCATCCCCTATCATGCTATTCGCCACGTCCGATCGGGCAACTAAACTGGCTTGCTATCAATTCTAGCCAGGGAAGTTGTCAACCTTAATAGGTGTAGGCAAGGACCATAGTAAGCCATAGAAACAACAGGGGATCAATCATAATCCAGGCTCGAAAGTGAAAGTGATTTATCAGCTGGAATTATAACAATTGCAGTTACATAATAAACAATAGTTACAAGTAAAACTAGAGCTGAAAGTTAGAGTAGAACTTTTGGTTTGCTCAGTTGAGGATAAATTCCATCGTGATACCAACCAGTGCGAGACTGTGTAAAGAGCGAACCACCGTGCATACAGTATCCTGAGCAGCTGCTTCCTCATAACACACAGTACTTGTATAGTAGTTTCGTTTTTATCCTCCTCTAACTCCTAGTTGGTCTTTAACAAGTATCATGACCACAAAGATTGAAGAAGAACCTGAGCCCCTTCCCTCCCACTCATCTTCCTACTGCCAAAGGCTACTACTACTACTGTCTACTTGGTAGTTTAGTGAAGATCTCTGTGTATCTGGCAGATATATGGTTCAATAAATTTCATGTTTAACAGTCTCTGGTAACCTTGCATACATGCTCTACCTTTTATGTTTTGTTCAATCCCCTTCCACTGGCCTATTCTAGATCGCTGTCAGGCCTGTCAGGTCTAATTCTTTTTTCAGGATTTCCATATCACAGCCTAATTGTACAGCTTGAAATTTCTGCATATATTTTTATTACGCTTACATTTCATCATGGTGATCTGACTTCTCCTTATTGATATAAGTATAGATATCACCTTGTAATAGGCGCAACAATAGGTCTTTTTCCTTCAGATCCATTCCTTTTACTCTTTACAACTTACTTCACTCATTTGCCCTTCAATAACTTCTTTGCTCCTGTATTATACCTTTCACGCGAACTTCCTTTCTAATTCATAGTTCTCATGAGTACTACAAAAACTATCGTAATCGCTGGGAATATGTATGTACGCTAAGCTTTTGAACACAAGGTCGGCCATATTTTCAATTGATTTCTGGTTACATTGTTATTTTTTACTTGAGTTTCTTGTATAACTTGATTAAGCAGGTGCCTTAGCTATTTGATACTTACTTGTAATACCGTATTTCCAAAGTACTCATTCCTACTCATCTCAACTAAAACACTCTCACAAAACACACTTTCGTATCCAAAGGCGTCATTTTCCCGGTAATTTCGCCCAAACGCCTACCATGTACGCTCCTTCAGACACTTCTGCCCAATGAAATATGCGGCGACCTAATGTCTTCCAGAACTTTCTCAAGTTTTGCAGTTATATTCGTCTTTTCTCAGAGCTTCCCTTTTCAGGCGAACCACCAGGGTGCCACGTTTCACGATGATGAACACGTCCAGAAACGCGAGCAATGGGATAACAAGGTGCGCCCATGCTATCTCTTCCTAACGACTTACAATTTGATTTTCTCGCCCATTTAATCGAGTAATCATGATATAAATAATTATTCAGACTCAATTTTATATGGGTGTTATAAGCTACGCCGTCGGATTAGGAAATGTATGGAGGTTTCCATATTTGTGCCAGAAGAACGGCGGTGGTAAGACATTCATTCTGGATTTTACTGAAGAGGTTCCTTATTTAGACAAAGCTGTGTATGATACCTGGCTATAATAGAGAGTAGGAGAATGTAAAATTTAATGCCGACATTATTTTCCAGGAGCTTTCTTGATTCCGTATGTGATTATGATGGTATTACTTGGTCTGCCATTATTTTTAATTGAACTGGGTATTGGTCAGCGGTTACGAACGGGCCCTATGGGCGTATGGAATGCAATTCATCCCTATCTTGGAGGTTTGTGCTTACCACTGACTTACTACATAATATAGTTCTGAGTATCAGATGTCAAAACGTCATCAACATTCAGTACTTGAGTAGAAATTTGGTCAGAACAGCCGGATTAACAGCAAATGCACGATAACTGGCTCCATGCCCCCTTAGTAAAGGTGGGAGACGGGCAGTAGGAACGGTTTTATGTAGTCGATTCGCCGCACGCGGCTGTCGCGGATCATTTGCCTCGTTATAACAGTTCTAGCGTCCTTCATACAGCTCAATCGCTATGCGATTATTACTTACGGCATGATTCTACCGTTCGTTATTTTGTTCCTCAATTTCTTACTTGCTGCTGCATTCTGCTACATTCTTTCGCGCGCAGCGTCTCTTTCGCCGCGACGCGACAATTTCGTTCCTACTGCACCACACCCTCACTTCAATTGGAATGGGTTCAGGAATTTCAAAGGAAAGGGTTGGAAAAGTGGTAGATTAATGCATTCAGTACAAAGTTTGGGATTAGATGAGACCGGGATGAGAGAATGGGAAGAAGTAATCTGAAAGGCAGCGGTGGGGTAAGCCGCTCTGAGATCAGCGGAGACCGTATTAGGAGGTCACCAGTTAATGCAGGAGCGTCTAATGACGGCGCTTGACGCTCGACGCTCTTGTCCCAAGCGCCGCTACTCGACGCTCTTACGTCAGAGGCGCATGACGCACTGTTCCAAACGATGCCATTAATTGTAACTAAATGTAATTGTATCATTGTATGCGAAATAAATTTAGCCCGCCATGTATGCTAATTATTTGCATTGCAGGTCTTGGTGTATCAGCAGCTGTTGTTTCCTATCTAGTTGCTCTATACTACAACGTAATCATCACCTGGTGTTTGTACTACCTCAAAGAGTCATTTGCACTCAATCTTCCGTGGGGAGTAAGTTATATTTTGAGTTTGTTTTCCAATATAATCAATCTATGGATACGATGGTTCACGTTTTTTCTTTACAGGAATGTCCTCGAAGTGATAACGGAACGATAGATAGGGAATGCGAAATATCATCATCAACTACTATGTACTTTTGGAATAGGCAGGCCCTCGACACGACAGGGTCCGTCAAACTGTTTTTCACAACTAACACACATCTTAACAAAATTTGGAAACTCTTTAACAATTGTACTTACGAAGCTTACAACACTTTTCACGAAAGTTTTCTTGGCTGTAGATCTTGTGTATGAGCTCAGATCCGTAACATTTTTTGAGGGGCCTTATCGACGAGTATATCAGCCATTACCAGTCAAACTGGTCCAACAATTGGTGTCCCAAATATTAAAATCCACATAACAACCTTTTTTCCTTACTCACTCCATCGATTTAGAAGTTCTTCTAGAATTTACACCTCATTGCCATAGCGAGGGAGCCCCATGACAACAAAAAATAATGAGCAACTCGAGAACATCTCATCAACACCTCTTTTTTTTGCAAACTCATAAGATCATCCCCAAAAAACTGCTTCCCAGCTGCAGGATTAGGGATTCAGGGGAGTCAGCTAGACATACGTCCTCTAACAATGCCCAATATTCTGCTTAAAGCACGAGCCTATCATTTACGCATGCGAAACTCCCTTCCTTGTCCACTATCACTCCCTTCTCTCTCCCTTCCATCTTCAAAAGTTGGCCCTTCTATAGCCGAAGGTCCCGACACGATTCGAAGTTATCAAGAGCTACATACTAGGAACATTTGCTACCATTTGTTCCATCCATAACCTCATTTCTTGGCTTGTTTTAGGAGGATAGGAGAATTGGACAGCTTCAATCAACATATTACTATATCTCTGATTGTTGCTTGGCTATTGATATACTTATGTGTTATGAAGGGAATCAAAAGTAGTGGAAAGGTAAGTAACTATTTCGGAAAAGTTACTGCTGTATGTGCCGATAGGTCGGAAATCGGTATTTTGCAAAGCCCCGCTTGGAAATCACCCGGGGCAACGGACTAAGCCGCGGCTTTCACGTCATCGTTGCGGTTTGTAGTAATTTCGCACCATGACCTAATGGCACACACCCAGACAGAGTATTGAACGAACTTATCACGAGTAGCGTTCAGGAGTAGACGCGTAGACGCTTTGTTAACTGTGGTCCCATATTCACTTGAAAATCTTCTCAAAAAGGGAAGGGAACATCTCATAAACCAGTTTGGTTTGAAAGTCTGCTGCAATGCCATGAATCGTCTTTACGCTCACTATAAACAAGACCCTTAACCTAAATGAAGAATTTCCACAGAACTTCTTCAGAAAATCATGCCAGACTATTTCCTACTAGTTACTATTCAATTTTTAGGTTATGTATGCAACAGCAACTTTTCCTTATTTGGTCACTACAATTTTCCTGATCCGATCTGTCACCTTAGATGGCGCCATGAAAGGATTGTGGCACATGATTAATCCTGATGTAAGTTATGAAACCGTCATTTGCATTTGATTATTGAAAAAACGACATGTATCGGATGAGAATACAATTAACATTATAGTAGCACACTCACTGAATAAATTACTGACTCACTTAATACTTTTGAAATTCCAGCATCCTAATCTGTACTAGTAGAAGTGAGTTGAGGAGGTCACATCATGTAATAACGTAACTAAGGGGTAGCGGTCGTTAGATAAGACATGAAAAGGATTAGGTTGACTACAAGAGCTGCACTCTATACCGACTTGCAACTAAGCAGATTCTTACCCTTCTGAAAAACCCCGCCCGCTTCAGACAACCCGCCCCCTTAGCCGGGGTCAGCGAGAGCAGAACCTATCTCTACCATGTCGACAAAATGGATGATGGTACATAATGCTATAAGGTTTTACTGTCGAAAAATTACCTTATCTTATGTATAACAAGCAGTGAAAGCTCTGAAAAGCACTTCGTGGGCGTATATTTTGGAGCTCTCGTTTGATTACTAGAGACTCTGGTGAAAATGTAGTTGGGGGGTGCCAGCGCCCTTTTG